TGGATATAGGCTAAGCAACTAACCCTGATTGTAAACAAGCTATTTCGAAAGTGAATCCCGTATTTATATGAGGGATGCGGGATATGTGTCACTCCTGAAACGTTGTAAAACAACTTTTATTTAAATTCTGAATCGATTATAGCCTAGAAAGCGAGCAAATAGCGCTTTCATCTAACGCTAATCACTAAAAAGCTCACTCACTTCAATTTATCGCGATCTCACGATTCCGTGATATGAAGCTCTCAGAACTGCAAATAATCTTATTTACGTCGTGTCTATGTGTGGCGTTTAGCATTCAGTGAATCCTGACTGTGTCACCCTGTATCTATTTATATATTTCTTTATTAAATCTTAATATATTATTATATCTTATATTAATCATTTGCACACACGAGCATTATCCGGCTCCGCCCCTCCCGACCGCAGACGCAGGTTTACAAGCCACTTTTTCCTGCGTTTTTCAGTCAATTTCTTGACTTTTGACTTCTTGGCTCTGTGTGGTTTCTCGGTTTGGCCGATTTGAGCATTCATAAACAACACAAAACACAGGCATTTTGGGTTTCTGCTAGTGATTCCTGCGGAGAGAAATCACTTCCTGCCCTCCAGCGGCATTTCGCGCGTCATCAGTGACGTCATGTGCAAACAACCTATACAACGAATTCATGACAATGTTTACATCCAAGCTACCCGTAAAATTTATAGTGAAAAGTACTTTAAAAGCGTCTGGAATGCAATAAAGTAATGTTAAAGCTGTTTTTTAAAGGATTTGCTGCATGGATAAAAAATATAAATAATTAACATATAAAGCAGATATACAATTATAGGACAAAGTTGTACATATATGCCATTATAATTAGTGTTTTATTTTTTAACTACGGAATTATAAAATAAAACGCTAATTATAATCGGGCCTTCCATCAATTATAGTGATGAAAAAATGATCTCCTCATTGGATGTGCCTTTATGAAAGAGTTTCTTTTAAGTCAAGTCAAGTTTATTTGTATAGCGCTTTTCACGATACAAATCGTTGCAAAGCAACTTTACAGCAAATTAAGTTTCTACAATATTTAGTGGTAGTTTATCAGTGGTGACTGTCAGTTAATGTACATATGGCAGAAATGTACGGAAAAATCAATTTAAGACGTAATAAAACAGACGATGAACACTATTAACAGTAGGGCTGCACGATAAATCGCATGCGACATTCAGCGCGCATCCCGTCAGAAAGTCTTTTTTCGATTTGAATTATTTAGTTTTAAAGTAGTAATTTAAAGCTTTCTATATATTTTGATCGTGTCTGAGTTTAGGCTCATCATTGTGAAGCACTCCTGTTCAAGACCGAGACGCCAGAAAGCTTTGTTTTCTTTAATTTATAAAAGCACAACGTTTTGTTGATATTGTGAGTGCAGACAGATAAAACTAGACCCTTTACAGTTTAGAATGATGTATTACTCTTACCTTTATGAGCAAAAATGACTGCGTATTTTAAGTATGGCATTTAATTTATATTTTATTGCTTATAATTATTTAGTTTGTCTAAAATTGTATTTAAATTGATCATTTAATTTATATTGCTTGTATTATATTAATTAGTAATTTAATTTATATTGCTTGTAAAAGTTTATTTTTTAGTTTATTATAAATATTTAATTTATATTTTATTGCTGATAAAATTATTTAGTTTTTAGTTTTTAAAAAAATACTATTTAGTTGATTTGATTAATTTAATTTATATTTTTTATTGCTATAAAATACTGTTACACGAATCAGGGTTTATTACTGTATTTAGACCAACTTTGCATACAGGGTCACAAAAATCACAAACCTCGTTTATAATTGACTTAAAATAAAACAGCTCATGTATTACTTAAACCTCCTGAGGTTGATGGTCAACATTTTGGAATATAAATGTCAAGAATTTACTAGTACTGTGTGGGGAAAAAAATAATGTTAAGTCATTTTATGAAAACGTTATTGATGTGAAGTGGCTTGTATCTGTCATGTGGATAATTCTAACAATGTTTGTCTGTCTTAGGATTCTCAGCTTCGGTCAGTAACTGTGAACGTCTGAAGTGTTAATTTTGCTGTGCATCCGTTCCAAAATCTGCCAGAACTTCGTCTGTTGAAAGTGCACATTTATAATTTAGTAATATTTCAAATATTAGTATCAAATAATATTCAAAATTCACTAAAATGTTTGAGGACAGAAATGTGCACTGTATTGAATTTTGAGTGATATTGTGTGAAGTAAGTGTTGATATTTTTGATACTTGTTATGCTCGAATTGTATTATATGCTGATGTTGTGTGTGTGTGTGTGTGCACGCAGATGGAAGGTGTGTGTCTCCATGTTCTCGGCCTCACACTCCTCTGAATGGCCACACACACGACTCCCCCGGCTGGAGCCGCCAGCTCCGCGTCAGAGATGGAGACCAGTTCTACCTGCTGGATCAAGAGGAGGTGATCACACACACACACACAGACACAGACACACACACACACACGCTCTCTCTCTCTCTCTCACACAGACACACACACACACACACACACACTCTCTCTCTCTCTCACACACACACATATGCACGCACACACACGCACACACACAGAGACACACACACACACAGAGACACACTCACTCACTCACACACACACACACACACACGCACACACTCTCTCTCTCACAAACACTCACACACACACACACGCACACACACACACTCTCTCTCTCACAAACACTTTTTCAACACACACTCTCGCAAACACTTTTTCAACACACCACACACACACACACACACACACACACACACACACTAGTGAACACTAGAGGGAGCTGCTGCCTTTGATGACAGTCTGACTCCTGCTTCATCAGCAACAGTTTTGGGAAGCTACTTTCTGACTTTCTGCTTTTATATATGTGTGTGTGTGTGCATATATATATATATATATGATATCATTGAATTTATATTTAGTGCTGTGAAATAATATTGAACAAATCAAGTTTTTTTTTACTGTATTTAAATATAGATTTTGCAATAAAAAAACAATATAATCATGAAATAAAATCTAAATAAAAACGCCCATGTATTAATTAGTTATTTAGCGATACTCAAAGTGAAGGAACACTAATCACATTGTTCTGATGACTGTCAGTGTTACAGACAGATGAGTGTGTGTTTGTGTTTGTGTGTTTTCAGGTTCATCCATTGCTGATGAATGATCATCGTCCCGTCTCTCACCGACACAAACTGCTGCGCAGGACCGTCAGCGTACCTGCAGACAGCAGACCACATCCTGAGTCAGGTACACACACACACTCTCTCACACACACTCACACTCACACACACACAC